TGGAAGCACAATGGGAGAAATCATGGAGTTTGGCCCCAATGTAGAAAGGGTGCAGAGCTCCTCCATTCCATTTTCATCATTCCTAACTTCAACAAGTAGATCTTTGCCTCTGCCCTCATGAACAAAAGACCATCTTTAAAGGTGAAAGGGTCCATCCATGGAGTCATATCAATGGTCAATAAAACTAATAATAATAAAAAAAATTGGCTGGATTTCTAGAAAACTAATAAAAGTAATCCATAAAACTATTCAGAGAATCCAAAATGGAAATCGCATCTGCTCTGCTTCATATTCGAACATGGAACATGTCAAACACCCCTCTAAGCAGTTAAACAGCCCCCCATCCCTTCCTCAAATCACCTATTAATACAACCATGCCTTTTTTATTATGTAAAAAACAAACTTTTTATGCACACGTGCACATATGGCCATGAACAAGAATGTACACAGAGACAGACAAGTAGTTCTGCATATGTATATTAAAATTTAAAATACAAGATTTTGTTAAAGGCACATGTTATGAAGGTTAAAATGATTGTACATTCTATGCTTGTACAATCAAAATCATACAAATATATGTACACTTAGGACACACATTAACAAGGCCCTAAAACATAATATGAGCTAATACCTCCTTGAGAATTATGTCAAGAAGTTCCAATCCACCCCCCAAGTTTCCTAGTCATTATTTATTGAAAAAGCAGGCAAAGAAAATGAGGTCTGGAAGAATTTATGAGGTACCATCAAATTAACATTCTATAATGGGCCAAAATGGCACATAATAAACATTATGCCACTATGACTAATACAGGAGTGTAAAATTCTCTAACTGTTGATACGACCAGAGTTTTAATCCAACCAATAGATTGCCACAATAGTAAGGAAAGCCAGGGATAACGTTTGCAATGGTAACAGCCAATTTTTAACCATGGCAAAAAAGCACCAAATTCATTTCTACTGATTTAGAATTATGAAGAGCATGCTGAACAACAAAAGGTCATATATAACCTACTCACGAAAACCAGTAGGATCTGGTTCCATTGACTCCACTATGTTATAATCTTCCATGCTTGCTGCACAGAGACCAGGGGCCTGTGCCAACAGAAATTAAAATGTTAAGATGCAAATAAATATTACACAATTAAAATTATATAAGACCAATATTTCTAATAACCTTCTGCTCTGTAGCTTGTCTGGTATTATCCTCCCTAACAAAAACAGCAAAAAGAGTAGTAGGATTGGCAGCAGGATTCCTAGCAACCTCAACCAGCTGTTGTAATGACTCTAGAGATCCGAGCCTAGCTGCAAGCTATAGGTAAGATCTCAATCAGAACCAGGCACAATCTGAGTTAGCCACCATATCAAACAAAATGAATAGTCACAAACCTTTAGCCAACGTATCAACAAAATTATGAAAAATGGCCAATATAAAAGAACTTCAACAAAGACAAAGGAGTAAAATAAGGTTAAAGACCTGCAGCTTCTTGGCCAGTCATTGCATCCACAACAAGCAAAATTTCTGTTGGATTTAGTGCCCGTTTAACTTCTTTCAATTCATCCATCATTGTCTTGTCAATCTGACAGTAAGTAAAAAAAAAAAAAAGAAGATAGATCAGTTAAAATAAGGTTGAAAAGCACATATATAATAATAATTATTATTTTATTAAAAAAACAGATCTTATTAAAAGTAGCCCCAAATAGATAGTTGATATAACCTGAAGTCTTCCAGCTGTGTCCACTATGACCACATCCATATTCTTCCTTTTGGCCTTTTCTAGACCTTGCCTAGCTATTTCTGCAGGTTTAACACCAGTTCATGCTGCATAAACAGGCACATCCACTTGTCCCAAGCTTATCATTGAATATGAGAATGAATTACGTGATCATGAATTTGAATCAAACATGAACAGTAACAAAGCAGAAAAACATAATAAATACAGAATACAATAATTGCTCAGCATGCTTTCTTTCAGGTGCAAACCACTAACAGTTCAGAATACAATAATTGCTTAGCTATTTTGCAAAAACCAGTTCAGAAACCTCTCCACCCATCAATTTCACAAGTTCATCATGTACAATCTGCATAAATAAGTAACTCAATTGAAGTCTTAAACATAGTTCCAACACCAGCTAGCTTCCATTTTTACTAGATAGTGGATCACAGTAAGTCCTGGATGAAATGAAATAAGTTCCAGTGCTATGTAGAAAAATATTTCAATCTGTATTTTGAAAAAGATTGGGAGTCAACACTTGGTTTTTTATGGTATAACCAAGAATCCAAAAATTTGATCAAAAATATAACCTCTTTACTTCTCTGGGAGAGGAATATGGTCAGGAGAAAGATTAATACTCACAAGACAAATAGTTAAAAGCATTCACTATGATCAAAATTACTATCTATCAACAAATTCTAAAAAACTAAACAGGAGTCTTTAAAATTAGCAGATTTACTAGATATTACTGAATTAAGAGCCAATTAATAAATAGAAATAAGCAATTACTGGTTGGTTGCTTGACCAATCCCACAATTTTACCTACAACAATCAAGAGTAGCCAACGGAGAAAGTACTTGCATAATTTGTGGATATGGATTTTGGAGGTCAACAAAAATAAAAAGAAGAGAATTAAAAATAAAAAAGAATAAATTACCAAATAGAACTAACAGTATGTTGAATTTCATCTGGTTTCAACTATGTTGATCGGCTTTGATCCAAGAAAAAATATATATATGAGAGAGGCACGCAGAGGAGCCCAGGTTTATGGGAATACCTACTTTTCTTTCCTTTCTAACATCTCCATCTCTGGCACAGCTCTTGTCAAAAACGAAATGATCATGGAAACCATTTCAAAAATCTGTTTTAGATTCAGAAAATGTAAAATTATTTCAGAAACCCATTCTAGAAAATAGAAACTATTTCAGAAACTCATTTCAATCAAAGAACAGATGTTACAAAAATCAAAACATTTCAGAACCGAAATAAATCATTTCAAAACCATTTCACACATAAAAACTATTTCAGAAAATAGAGAAAGAAATAAATCAAAGAAATGGAAACAGCTTCAGCTGTTTTACCTGAACGTAAACAGCAATGCTTTAAGATTCAGCAATAGGCAATGAAGCCTAAAATTTGACAGGAAAACACACTTAACTGTCCATATGAATAAAGCCTATATCTATTTGTTCCAGCCTCTCTCTCTCCCTCTTGGTTGGACTACTACTCAAGGTGAAACCAATCTATTTATTTCAATGAAACAGAAGTTATAAAACATGCACTCCTAATAAAAGACCTCGACTTGGATGCCCTGAACAAGAGACCAAGTAAAGATCTGCCTTAGTGAGGATGATTTTTTAAATTAGTGGGTTTTGGGGTAGAACATCCCCCATCCCAAGAGGTATTATGGGACTGTAAATAATTGAATTGAAACCAAATCAAGCTGTACCTATATTCATCAAGCTGATTTCAAGAAATAGGATCTAAATTCAAGTGCAGTTGTTGTTCATAGAAAAATTGATCCATGAAACAATTCTGAAAATTTAGTTTCACTGAAGAAAGAGAGAGAGTTTTCAAAATTAATGGCATGGCAACCGTAGAGATGCGTTTAAACATTCAAACTTCTCCATTTTGCCTTTGTTTTTGGTAGGGGGAAGGGGAAGGGATGTTGTTAGGACTACCACTCAGGGTGAAATCAATTTGACTCACAACTAACAAACCATGTTGGTTGTGTAAGCCTATTGAGAGTGGAAACTGAGATGCATCCTAGGCTGTTGCCTTGGCCAACTCACGCACACGTGCACTTGACACCTGTATAAGTTCTGAAGGAAGATCCACTAAAAGAAGCTAATTTCAGTAACTCAATTCTCCAGGCACTTGAGCACTTGATGCTTAGAAATTTGTTCTGAGCATCACTTGTACTTGTCATCCACAACCCAATTAATAAAAGGTCGGAGCCTTGACCTTCTAACATGTTAAACTAAGTACAAACTGTTCACTGTTTGCTAGGTATATAAAGATACAAACTAACGAAGAAAAAATACAAGCAGAAAACACATCAAAAATTTAGATCAGTCTAACAAACAAATAAATAAAGGCTCATTAGTGAAGCGTCAATATCTTTTTAATGGTGCCTACTGAAAGTAGTTCATGTAATTTAATATAAACATTGAATAATTAATATCAAATCAATTTCTAATTCATGTCAAACTAGTTGACAGGAAAGGGAAATTACCTGTAATTCTTTTAGCAGGATCAAATGTCAACATTTTATGAACCAGATCAACAGCTAATGGATGGACATGTGGGAAAACCTTTGCTAACTGCAGCCGAGGATGTTGGGGTAGTTGACAGATATAACATCACTTTTCTACTACCGCATCCTGTGTTAGTTTAGGTATTCCCCTCCCCATAACATTCCATTTATGGTGACAAAACAGATACCAGCTACAACATTAGTTTAATACAAGCAAAATAATTCTTTGTTCCAGCCCCAATAATGAATTTCGCACATTTTCCATTGTTCCCATACCTAAAGATTGAGCATTCAGGCCCACCAAATTTAAAATACAAGAAAAATTTACCATTCTCATGTGTTGGACTAGATGTGTCCTTCAATGGAGATGATTTATCCACATTTGTTCTTGGAGGCCACTGTTCCAAGGGACGCGATGGGTGTTAAATACCCCAGAGTGTAGTTGTTTGTTGCTTTTTTGTTTTATTTTCTGATGTACCCAAAAAAAAAAAATTTGTTGGTGTGGTAAGCTCAATTGGTGGAATTATTCAATCACCACAAATTAAAATTTTGTGGATGGAAAAAGTATGAAAAGTTGATCTAATTTACCACACAAACATATATATCATCATCACAGGCCCCAATAACTGAGTTCTAGTGGTGGTTGCATGCTTGCCAGCAGCACGCAAATACCAGAGAGAGACCAACAGGAAAAGCCTAGCCAGTTTAGAACAGCAAACACACACAAACATGACTTTTGATTGCAGCTGATATTATCAAAAAGATTAATTAACATGCAAAAGTCTTATTTGAACAACCAAATTCAAAGTATTCTACAAAACAGTGAGTCATCTCCACAAAAACATTACTGTAGGCAATTCAATAAAATCATATGATATAAATTTATCAAGTTAATATACCCGCCATAACATCACTCTTCCCTCGTGCAAAGATTGTGTAAACTAGACGGATCGCATCAAGCCATCCATCCAAGGATTCCCAAGAATCAGCAATCTGTGAAGTATAAATCAGCAAAATTTCCCAATTAAATAAATTTCGTAAGGAAATAAGAAATATAAATATATATATATATATATATTATCTTCCTGGTCCTGTCATCTTTTCCAACAAAAGGAGTTATTTTTTATGTGTGTCTTACATAAAAATGGCAAGCATATTTTCAACATGTCACTGGCACATCTACACAATAAAAGGTCGTGCTCAAAAGCCCCTTTTGTGGTGAGCAAGGGCAAAAGTTCAACAACTAAAACAATGTTTGTAGAGGGGGAAAAGAAAACAGCATGGAAAGGGGAAGAGGACACTTACCAAGAAAACTGGTCCATGAATTGTATCAATGCTGAGTCCTGCACCTCATGGTAAGGTCAGATCGGCACATGCTGAAACAGAGACTATGTCTGGGACATCAACTTTAATAACTAATCTATTGGAACTCATGGTATCTCCTGAGTTGCCAGAAAGGCTTCGTGACATCTGCTTCTGCTCAGCTTTGTTAAGCTGCATTAGAAGTTTGAGCGTTTTAGCAGAGAAAGTGAAGTTCAGTCATAGAGATTTGTTTTTTGGGGCATGTATAGTTCAGTGATAGACAATTGCTTACTATACAAATAAGGGTTATATTCTTCCAGAAAATTGTGACAAGTGTGTTTAAGAACTAAAGGATATAGCATGCACATGTCTGGAACATTTATACAAAAACTCATCTTAAAAACACTTTTTACAAAGAGAATGTACTTCATGCTAACTGTAGATAAAAGTTTAAGAAAAAAATTGAATCATCACGCTCTCGATGAAATAAACAAAAACAGAAAAACAAAAGATGAAAAAGATGCTATCAAATATATTTGTTGTGATATCTTAGGTCACTAAATGCATATCATGGCATAAAAATGATATTCAAAGGTTGCACTCATCCTATTTTGAGCTCCTTACACTTTCATGGGAAAATTTCAGAGATATCAATGGGAAATACAAAATTGCGCTAGAAGTATCACCACAACTCAAACCAGAATATCAGGCTTACTGCTGCGTCCTTTGATTAAGACCTTGGGGAGGCCATGTCATCAGAGTTATAGAGGTAGGTATGATATCTTCGAAGGTGTATCATGGCATGCAGTAGGCAAGAGTGTTAGGTCAAAATCCCCTCTCTCTAAGACCGGTCAAGGATTCCTTGGGGAGACAGCTAGGCAACCTTGATAAACCCATGATCCTAGCCTCTAATCCACAATCCTCCGATGATCCCAAGCAGCAAATGCCTAGGCCCTGCTCCCAGCTTAGGCTGCCAAGTGATTGCTATGATAGTAAAAACCATGAGTGATCCCAACTAAGGCAGTGAGTGTGAGTGCATAGGGGAGACATAGGCAAGCCAAGGGCTGGGCTATACTACTGCTGAGGGGGAGAGACCTAGTGGAGGTGTGCCCAGGGTTGAGCGGTGCTCCAGGTTGTTCCTGGGCATACCTTATGGGAATGAATGAGGTATGAGCCTGGGGGACCACGGTGAGGTAAGGCTCATCCAGGCAAGCCGTGGTGCTGCCAAGTATATTGAGAGCCGTGGATCAGCCTCCTCATACTTTGACTAATTAACTTTGGTGTTTTGGCCTGCTAGAGCGGCGGTCGCATTAGTAAGCTTAGCAGCCATACTTGTGTATATGCCCCCTACTTAGGCTAGGCATATGAACCCCATTGTGGTGCCACATGGGTCTGCCATGTAGAGATGATGGTGATGATGACATGGCACCCGTAGAACTCGCCATGTATCAGGAGCAATGTAGATACCCAAAGGAATAAAACAAAACAGAAACATATTTGAATGTAGCCTTTTGATTAGTATTCATACTAGAAGATATGAACTTCTTCTACCTGTTGGAGACCTTCATGATTCAGAATAAACTGTGTTCGTTTCCAATCACTGTGGGGCGCAACTGGATTTCCCACAGGTGGTGCAGTCAGATATCCAACCTTTAGATAGGGTAAAGGTAGCTGTCAATGAATAAATCTCGTTAGAACTTCGATATGAAGAATGATTTCCCATCTAGCCACATGAAACGAACACTTGCAGTGAGGTATGATCGACCAGAAATACTTAACATGCAAGTCAAGGGTACGAGGTCCAATAATTACATTAAGAAGTATCGTGGGGTAAGGATTTCAGCAATGACACTCTTATTTCTTTTTCCGATAAGAAAAAAAATTCTAGAAAATAAGCCCAAACCTTGTACCCTTGACGCATAATTCTGGATATATATATATTATCTTCC